CGGCATTGCTTTACTATAAGGTTAATCGAAAGGAAGCCTTGTAGCAATCTTGAAAACGATCAAGGAAACAAAACGTGCCAGAGAATAATAAATCTTTGGTTTTTCTTTTTTAATCGATCCTATTTAATTTTATAATGTGATTTTTTATTTCAGTTTGAGGAGCTTTCAAATCCATCCATGACCCAAACATAGGAACCCAGGGCAGCGTTTAATCTGAAGTGTTCATATAACTCTATGATATGACCATGACGTTTCAAGAAGTTACTGAAGCTAAAATGTGAACGATCACGAGAAGTGTCAGCAACCTCAGCAGGATTAGCCGAATGCGTTTTGTGAAATCTACCGGATCCGATATCGCTTTCGTCGCGCTCAACCTCAGCAATCATGTTGTGGATGATGATAAACGCATTCATGATCGTATCAAGGGTATCATTTTTTTATAGTCTTGCAGGATTACGGATAATGTCAAACCAAGCCTGCAACACACCAAACGCTCTCTCTATATCCTTTCGACATGCTTCTTGTGCTTTGGCAAAGTTCTTTCTAAGAGAAAGAGTCGGTTAATATCGCAAATACTAAGTATTACTTGTAGAAGCAATAGTTACGATTTCGGCACCAGGTCTAGGGATGGAACACGTCTTGCCAATGTTCGCATAGTTAGGGTATATCCCGTCACCAAGATAATACCCCGAATTAAACTCTTCGTCACCAATGTTGAGCTTGACATCGGGACCGCTTCTATCCTTATACCTATCAAGAATAACCGATCTATTGAGAACATTGATATCATTGAGCGATCCAAGCGAATCAAAATAAGTATGCGAGATTGACAAATCGTAAGATGCCACATCTTCAAGATTAATGGTTGGTGTCTTGTCTTTGTCCGTATACTGCCCATGATATGCTGTTGGGGAGTTTTTCTATGCGTAGTGCATGCAATCTGTCGAATTTGACACCTAATTTCCTGAATACAATTACTTTGATATTCTCACTCAATTATAATGTATATTACCTATGTGTTATAATTACTATATTGGGAATATATTCTTACTGGTAAGACGCAGTACAAGCTCCCTCATATATTAAACCTAGATCAGATTTCATAATCGTTTCTAGATTGGTTGAGTAGCTGCCGAAAATTGTAGTTTCTCATAATGTTTTTTTTAGTAATCCAATCAAGAGCCCTGTCATTGAATGGATAAACTATAATGCTCTAGAAATGCCGGGTATGGGGCAATTAGCTCCTTATATATAACAATAAGCTATATCTCATATGTAAGTGATTTCTAAATCTAATTCTACCATTTCCCATTTTGCGGGTGGATAGTCAATTCGATCTGCGCAGGAAACATCTTGAAGTAAAAATTGAATATTAAAAGGACCTCCATTTCTATTATGACAAACTCTCCAACTTGTATGTAATAAACGATTATAGAGTTTCATTTCTTTACCTACTTTATTTTCCAATTTACATTTCCCTTTTTTGTCTTCAATTATCACAACATCCAACTTGCAGAAGGTCTATAATGGTACAAGATTAATTTGTAGAAAATTAAAAAAAGCTTTTGTAGAAGCTGAGATGGCTGCTGGTGATAGAGCAGATCGAATTGTTTTTATTCCCAACATATGAAAAGCGTCAGGTAATGCAAACGTACTATTTACCCTCCTTCGACTTCAATTTCTGTCCGACTTGTATTTGAAATTCCCATCAACAAATGGCAAAGTCAAACTCTTTCCTTCACTACTATTTGTCTCCGTAAACCCGTTTTCACGAACGGTCAATTTTATGTCGCTTTGTCTCGGTTACGTGATTCTGCTAATCTTAAATTAATGTTACTGAATGAGCCGCCATTATCAACCCTCGCAGACAATGTTGTATTTAACGAAGTCATAACTAAGACCCAAAATTAAGTACAAAGTAATCAATATGAATAGAATTTATTTTTATACCATTTATAAGCATTGAGTTGCGTCGGGGTTCGCCGCAAACTTGTGATGGCCCTCAGCAAGAACGTAGGTTATTTTTACCGTAGCGAAGCGAAGGTCAAATAATTGCTAAAGTGGGCTGGGCCGTGTTCTCGTTTAGGTAAAAAAGTATTCTCAATACACGTTTCCAGAGATGAAAGAACAATGAACAACAGTTTTCTCATTTGCCATTTGGTGAAAGGCAAAATCTGTTTTAATCGTTACGACATCAAAAAGGGAATCCTTGAATGTCGAGGTGGGCAATGAAATAATGATCATATACATTTTTTTTAACTTTAATCTTTTGTAAATTGGACCTGCAAACAAAGTCCAGACTTTTTTTTTAATATCTGACAGAAAAAGTGACTTTTGTTTAAGAAATACAGTAACACGTCATCAATTTGCGGGGCGCAGCTGTTTTTTTATTTTAAACATGGATTTTTTATTTTTATTTTTTTTCTTTTTTTTCTTTAAACAAGTCTTCCTAAAATGATTGAGAACGTTTTTAACGACGAGTAAGTATTAAATAAGTAATTTACAAGTACTTCTTTTACGCGATGCTAATCTTGAGAATGCTTAGTTTAATGTGTGACATTACGCACCGTGGATACTTGTTTTTCTTTTTCGCTTGGTTCCACGCCAGCTTTGCCTTTGTTTTCCTTTGGGAAAAATTTGCTTCGTTCTTTGGTTCGGTCTACGCCTTTGCCAGTAGTGGTCGCCGACCATTGACTAAACCACGGCCAGTGGTGATTGGGGAGCTTTTCGTTCTCTGCGATGGCAGAATAACACCGGTCTCCCTGGCCAAAAAAAACTCGTTGGTGTCCTCTTCCTCTTCTGTGGTGCCCTCTTCTTCCGTTTGTCCTTCCTCTGTTGCTGTTCGTCCTGCTTCTGCTGCTGCCTCTTCTGTCGGGTTCCTCTCCTCTTCTGTTGGTCCCTCTCCTTCTGTTCTCGGCTCTCCTGCTCTTGCGCCCTCTCCTGCTGCTCTTGAGCCCTCTCCTGAGGCTGTTGCCTTTTCTTCTGTGTTCCTCTCCCCTTCTGCTGTTCCCTCTTTGACCACTGAGGTTACTAAGCAGTCTTTTGTCCTTCGGTCGGCGCCTGTCTTGTCCGACAGAATGGACAGAAATGGCTACCTTTTGGACTTTGCGCGTGTCGCGGGTTTGAACTGCCATAGTGGTGGTAGCTTAGCTGCCATCCGGCAACCCTCTGAGAAAGCTTCCTGTGGGGTAACATTTGGCTTTGGCTGTGAAGCCATTACCCAAGCATTGCTTGCGGCTGGTGTTGTTGCTCCTCCTGTTGCCTTGGTCCCTCCTCCTGTTGCCTCGGTTGCTGCTCCTGTTGCCTCTGTTGCTGCTCCCGTTGCCTCTGTTGCTGCTCCTGTTGCCTCGGTTTCTTCTCCTGTCGCCTCTGCTGCTCCCCCTGTGGCCTCTGGTGGACCTCCTGCGGCTTCTGCTGCTTTTCCTGCGGCCTCGACTGCTTTTCCTGCGGCCTCGTCTGCTCCGCCTGTGGCCTCTGTTGGTCTTCCTGTGGCCTCTGCTGCTCCTCCGGCGGCCTGTGTGGCTTCTCCTGGGGTCTCTGTTGCTGCTCCTGTCGTTTCTGTCTCTCTTTCTGCGGCTGTTGCTGCTGTTTCGGCGGCCTGTGTTGCCCCTCGTGAGATGCCTACTTTGGAGTCTGGCTTCTCGTGGAGTTCCTTTGCTCCTTCGGTGACTGGTCCCTTTGTCTTCGGTTCTTCGGTCTGTTCGTCTTTGCCTGCTCTTGCCCCTTCGGGTATTGACCAAATGATTGGTGCTTCTTCGGTTGGCGCATCCGCTGGACCAGCTCCTCCAGTTGCCTGTTCGACTGCTTGCTCCCTTCCTGTTTCTTCTGCTGGCGAGACCTTCTTTGCCAAATTAGCTGACGATGAAGATGGTAAGAAAAAAAAGTCTTAAACATATTATAGTCTTTCTAATTAAAGTTTTCTTTTCGATGTAGAATATTTGGACTCGCTAGCAGAAGAAATAGATAAACTTCTTGATCGAGATTTCGATTTTTAAAAACTTTTATTCATGTCTTCGTTTCAAATGTGCTTTTTCGAATAATGTGTGGAGTTTGGTCATAAAGAGAGGGTATACGGTTGTGATTGAATGTTTTATAATTTCAAGTTGAAAGTTAGGGCTGTAAGTTGTTAATTTAGAAACAAACAAGTCAACATCATGACAAATTTGACAATTTTAACGTCACTGAAGTAGAGTGAATATTGTTCTTTTTTTTTTTTTTTTTTTTTTTTTGAAAAGTAACCATCAGTTCATTTAACACATTACCACTTGGAAATTTGGAATTGGCAAACGATGGACGTCCAAAATATTTTCTTAGTCCATTGTCTTCTATATCAAGAAATATAATAAAAAAATTGAAAAACAAACAAAAATACGACAATGAGTAACAACACACACCGAAAGAGATAGGTTTTTCGTTTATTTAAAATTAGAATTTTGTTTTTTTTTCCCCTTTCAGAATTGTTCATCTTTTTTTTTTTTTTTGCTGAAATGATTCTTCAACTTTGCGATTGCGGCCAATGTTAAAAAACACCTTCTCATCAGGTGGAAAGAGAGCTTAGCATCAACAATGCCAATTCTTATATTTCGAAAGAAAAGTAGTTCAATGACATACAGACCAGCAGTATGTACAGTAAGACTGATATCCTTACTTTTTTTCACGCAACAACATTAAAATAGTAGCTGCTTTAATACACAACCAGTTGAAAATCTTAAATTTTACTGAAATTCTGTCCCAAAAAGTAAATCCGTGAGCAAACTTTAATCTTTTAAAAAAATTGAAGCTGCCGATTGGATGAAAAACCAAATACGTTATTAAACACCAGATGCATAAAAAAAAGACGCTAAAAAAATATTGAGGATGCACAAAACCTTTAAATGGGTGTCCTTGAGGGGTGAGGATAGAAGGTCGTGGATTTGACCGTTTTTATTGGATAACAAAATGAAGTGAACTTCATTTTTTAAAAAAAATGACATGTAAAAATTTCGAAATTATTCTTAAGGTTAATCTTGAGAATCGTTTTTCAACATTTCGAAATGTCTGTCCGTATTATGGAACCACCAAAGAGTACCAAACTTACACTTGTTAATTATTGAGTATTGAACATCATTTATCACAGTTGAATGCGACATGTCCAATAGTTCAACAACAGCCAGCTTGAACACCAGCGTACTTAGAGTTTCGTCCAATTTGACCGCGAGAAGATTGCCACCATCGTCCACCTGGTAGTTTGTGAAGATGCTTGCGTTGTCCGAAAGCACTTGCACTGGTTTTTCAACAAGTGTATAAACCTCCAGTTCGACGAGATCACCGCGTTTCAGCACAACCTTTCCAAGTAAACGACGCTTCCCACTTTGCCAAGATCGAGATCAAAGACAGCCACCATGTTAAAAGCGACTCTCTTACCGGAGATGTATGCAGCATTACCATACTCACGGTTGGCGTTAAAGTACATTTTTGACCAAAACGACTAAACTATTCCCTCACCTTGGAACCACAAGTCTTGGCATCATTGTCCCAGTAACAACCCATCGCGACATTCCTCAAAGACAGCTCACGACCATTGATCAGGGCCAAGTCACGAGAGGGGTTTTGCTTGTTCGTTTTCATGATTATTGCCCGAATGTACTTGTTAAACTGTTCATTCTTTTCAGTAGCCAAAAGCACAGGAGAAGCAAAACGAATACAATCCTCCACCAAGTGAATGATCAAGTGTGTTTTCAAACGATTGCACAGAGGACCACCTGTCTTGGCGTATGGAATGGAAGCACCATTAAGCTGTTCACCAGAACTAGCACCAGCACGAGAACGAACACCAGCACGCGCACCAGTAGCAGCAGCACCAGTAGCAGCAGCAGAAGTTACGTCTTCATCGTCAGAATCTTCACCTTCTTCAGGAGGCACAACATCACCAAACATCACCGATGGCTCATCTACATTTTCAGTTGTAGAAGCTTGATTGTCTCTACGACCGCGACGAGAACGCCTGCTACTTGGAATTGCCGTATGATCAAGGTTATCCAAAGCAACGATTGTATCATTGGCAGCCTTTCGAAGCATCTCAACAAATTTGTCAAAGTTGGTATGAATTTCCGACATATAGGATAGAGAACAAAGCTCACCAAGCTTATCGAAAGTATCGATGATGTTATTCAGCCTGTGGTGGGGATCGTTACGAAAAGTCAAGAATGCCCGGTCATCCTTAGCAAGTCTCAGTACAATTGGAATCATCTGGACCATAAGCTTGAAATCTCCTCCAAGGTAGCTTTTGTAACCCTTCAGATGAGTGGACAAGTTAGTGAAAGCCTTTGAACCGTAAGTACGACATAGAGAACTGATAACATCGACTTGGGTTTTGTTAATAAAACAATCGGCAGCCTTGTTGAAGGTGTACTTGATCAAGCCCAGACATAATCCATGCAATATTTCAACTGGCGTATCTTTACTTGGATCCCAAGAGGACAGACCCAACAAGCCCTTACCATTAGAATCTTTGAAACCAAGAGTCATCAGATCATCAACAAAAATAAAGTTACCCTGTCTATCACGAACCCGGATCGAAAAATCAGGAATAGGTAAGTTGCTTGTAATAAATAAACTTTCCCAATGCCGTTTTTCCCTTGGAGCTGACACATATTCTTCAGGAGTGGTCCTTATATTTTGAATCGTAATTATTGGCATGGCGGCACCAGAAGCACTTTCTACAAGGATATGTAGCCGTTGAATGTTTTAAGCAAGTTATCTCGGCATGACGAGGATTGTCAGCCTTGATGAACAAAAGAGGAGCGACAACAAATACGTCTTCTTTAAGGACAGCATCAAACATCGGCATACCAGTTTCCGAGCTGTTTTAGATTACCAACAAGGGAAGGCAACTGCTCCATGGCACTGAGTTTGTTAGACCCACATAAAAGCAATTGGTTCAAGTAATGATTGGCAATACTTAGGGGGACAGCAGCAGGATTCATTGACCAAGTATCGAAGCAATTCCATTTTGAGGTTGAATTACCACTAGTGTCATCAGAAAACAAGTTATAAGGAACAACTCTAACAACCTGAAAGTTCTTGGGAATAGACGGGTTAAGGACGTTGTTGACAAAGTTGGAGTTAACAGGCAATGGGTGCTTGTGGTCGTTGGCAGCTTTAATCATGTTATAATGATCACGAATCAAATTAGTGTTATCAATAGTATAGCTCGGGTTACAGATGATTAAACGTTCAGGAGTCGAATTTTGCATGACACTGGTATAGGCCTGGTAATCTTCCACTTCTAAACGGCAAACATCATCAAGATTGAGCTGTGATACATCACATGAGACAACCTTTTCGGAGAGATAGTACATGGAATCATTCATCTTGGTTATTACCGGGAAAAGGAACGCCTTGACAATGTTGGATTCTTGGAAGAACTTGAATACCTTGAAGTAGGGACGCTGTTGAACAGGAACATTGATATCAGACAGACGAGAGATTCTATCCGACACCCACAATTGCCGAGGGTTGTTATCATTACCAGCAATTATCATGGGAGGCTGAAACAATTTATCCTCAATCCACTTTTTACCTTGACCAAGCTTTATACGTTGGTTACTCGTATAATCAGGAAGATCAGATAAATAGGGGGACATGATTGGATTGGCAATGAGAAGTCGCAGGTGTTCAGAAACATGGTTGATAATCAGATCAGGCTTGTACGGCTTACCAGCAGCGTCACGACTAGAATGATCAATAGGTGTGGTATAAGGAATACCTTCACGACTTTTCACATAATATTCAGCATGGGGAAGAATCGGAACAGTGCTTTTGGTAGATTTGTAAAACCTAGAAATACCTTGGGGAGTAGGGTAGCCTTTGAAATCATAGTCAGTGTCAGTGGGATCCAGAAAGTTGATCTTTGTATTGCCGAATTGCTATTTCAATCAAGTATCTGCCGAATTCAAGGGTCGCTTTAATTTCTTCCTCTGAATACTTCATACTTGAAGACTTGAAAAAGAGAAGAGCATGCATGTAATATTCATTTTTGAAAGGAAAGTAAGGGTTGCCATTAACATCATCAGGTACTTGAGGTTCATCATCATTGGTATTGGGGTTGATAGATTCACTAACACCAGGACCACCATCCAACTGTACTTCATCATTTAAAATGTTTTCAAAGGGGTCAAAGTCACGTCCGATTTCACTGTCATCCTCCTCAAAACCATGGGAGCTTCCGAAAGCTTCCTCAGGAGTTATGTCTGGTTCAGGCTCAGGTTCAACATCAATGTCTGTCATCATTGGACTAATAGTTTTAAAGGTAAGCATATACATTGGTTAAGTTTTCAATAAAAAAATTACCTTCCAGAAGGTGAATCAATATTCATGGAGTTATCTGCCTCATCTTGAACCTCAGGAGATGGATCAGTATTCATTGCTTCATTTTGAACCTCGTTAGGGTTGTTTGCATTTCTAATGTTTGTGAGTAAATTTTCCAATAACCCTCTGATATATTACTTACGAGAGGATTGCATTCGCTACGTTTAACCGGTGTGATTCAGAGTTGAGATGTCTTGTATGATTGCTCCGTCTATCAGTATTGTATTGACAAACATTACAGCTCAAGGCTTGATCTCGAATTTCGGCATTTAGTTCCACAAGGTTATGAAATCTGTTTGTATGGTTTGACATAATTGTATAAAAAAAAGTTGTAGTGGTAGAGAAATATGTTATTGATGCCTTTATATACAAGTTTGGCCATTGAATATGACAGCTGTTTGCATTTGGCGCTAATAAATGATGATAGCTGTTACAGCTTTGGAGCTTAGCCCGAATGACACATGCATGTAATTTGATTGGTGTACAGCCGACTCTGGCGGCAATTTGTCACGCAACTCTCGCATATTTTTTCACGCTATCTTTCTTTTCCTTTTCCCTCTCTTTTTTTTATTTTTTCTTTGACCATGACGCTTTGTTTGATTCTAACGCGTGATTTATTGTAGTTTTCGTTGGAAGGGTTGTTATCTGATAGGAAATAGAAATACAAAATCATATTGATGACCTTGTCTTTTTATTTTAGTTACAATCATTGATGTACTCGCGTGTTTTGACACTAAAAGGTAATCATGATATATTGACAAGAACTCAGTTTACTCACAGATGTTTACTTTAGACTTCCATCAGAGATGTCAAACAGATACAAGGGTACGTTTTCATTCTTGTTTGTAATAATTATTCCATGCTAACACGCGTTTTATTTTATTTTTAGTCCCTTTTTTCATGTTTTGAAAATGTAAGTTCCATCAACCTCTTCTTATTTGCAGATTATTAACATGATTTTCGTATTTTTAATAGATATATTCTCTTTTAACTTTAGTAAAGTAAGAATTGTCGCTGCTTTCTTTAAATTGTTTTACTTACCATCATCATCATTATTTAGTTGTAAAATGTATAAAACTGTTTAAGACCGTTTAAAAAGGTAAGCCCATCATTCAGCTAAAATATTAGGCAAAAAACGGACATGTCTTTAGTATAGTTTGCGCTTGATTATCAAATGCCTTTAAACGCAAATCTGTTTTGTCTTTGCCGGCGTTCGCCGCAATACCTTCATCAAATTTTGCCAGCACAAGCTTTTTATGCCCTCGTCATCATTTTAATAAACTATTTCTTTTTTGGCATTTTTATGCTCTCAACAATATTCTATTTTTACATTTTTAAAATTTTGGAGCAGTGTTTATTTGTTTATTCGTGTGATTGTTGTGGGTCGCACAAAAATTGCTAAAACGAAAAAGGAATATTTCTGCTCGCTCCTTTTTTGGAAGATTTGAGAAAAAAAAAGCTGAGATTTTCAACTGGTTGTGTATATAAACCCATAAAAACATTACACTTAAATAAACAATTCAGCTTTTTATCTACATTTATCTTATAAACTCTTACCATATCTTGCCTGTCAATACTTATATCTAACATATAATTTGGCTTATTATCTGTCTGTCTCCCTAGAAAAACGAAGCCAAGTCTCTTTTCTCTGTATCTTTATTTCAAATCTTTTTGTTGTATCTATCTTTACTGGTTCGTTACCATATATATCTTTCCCTCCGTACAAAAACTATTGTTTTGTACGACACAAAGATATCAAGTTATTATAACAATCCCGTCAACTAAAGCAACAACAGAGACCTCTCAGCCAATCCTGATTCACATTCGACGACCAAAAAGTATCCTTCCGACCTCGAAAGACATCCACCATAACTGCTCATTGAGTACGGATTCTCAGGAATCTTCAGCCTCATCTGAGAACCATAAACGACTTACAGGCCCTCCCGCTAACACTGCTACAGCCATTGAAACATCCTCTCTAATCTGCAAACCAGCAACCAAACGTGCTTTTGCTGCCTCCACCATTGTAAAACTGTTTGACGACAACCTTACACGCCATAAGAAATACATTGGTAAAAACTCCTCTACCATGAGCCATCACTCTCAATCCCATAGCCTCCACAACACGATGAAAACAACACGCTTCCTGCAATCCAGTTAACTTCTGCCACGACCCACGGAGTCAGCTCTCCTGAAGATCTCTCATCTCACTCCCTAGACAAGGATGGTTCATCAATGCGAAACAATTTCCAATTTGGAGATATGTCAAATGATTTTCTATCCCAGAGTAGTCTACCTGAGGTACCTCACAATCCTTCTTTAAGGGATAATGATACACCCAAATGGGCTTTGAAACTACAAGCTCAGATGAATCGACTTGTTGCCCTTTTCGAAGTGTCTACAAAAGAAAATTTAACACTCCGTCAGGAACTAAAACTTTCTAATGCTCGTATAACTGCACTGCAACAAAAACTTTCTGGCACTCGACGTGCTGGAAATTTTGATTATAATGTCCCTGAAACTTTTCTTAATAGTTTTGGCAGCAATGCTTCTAAGTATTCAGACACTAATAACTCGGCAAAACAATCGACCACTGGTCACAATAGCACTAAAGCTAGTAGTGATAATAAAAAGGAACATCCTAAGACCTCCTTCGCAGACATGGCAAAGAAGCCGGTCCCACTGAACAATAATCGTAAGCGGACTACATCTAAACAACGTAAAGCAGCTGCCCGCATTTTTGAAGCTCCAGCTGAGCAAATATCTTCTGATACGTTTCTTTACTTATACTTGCCAAATAAATATCGAATTCGCATCAAGGATTTTCGCCAAAAGCTACCAACAATGGGTTTAGACAATGGATGCATATTTGATATTCATTACCCAGCCCGTGGCGTAGTAGCCCTTTTGATCCACCAAAGCTATAGAGTCGAATTGGATTCTATTTTAACGAAATCCAACATTGCACCGGTCAAAGATTTTAATCCAACTTCAATTGAGCATTTACACGATCCGTCTCTTAATCACCTTACAGTCGATGAACGCTCAACTAAAGCTATTGAATTTCTTCAGAATCGTCTGATAAGAGGATTGAAATTTATTAGAAGTTACCTTCGCCGATCTGTAGCAAGAAATTTCCTCCAGCTTGGATGGATCACTAACGAACAAGCACAACAGGTGATTTCAGAGACTAATAATGAGAATGGACACAGCAACACACCTACCAACACATTCGAAACTACTCGTGCGCCCTCAACTAGCCAATCCCATTCTGGATCCAGTGGATTAGGAGAAGTACAAGAATATGTACAAGCAACCAACATCAACAACGAACAAATGGATATTGAAGATGAAACCTATGATAACTCCTTGCCTGGTGCCGGTCAACCAGCCCCCCGCCAATGAATGAGTACTTTTACTGATATCACTAACCCTATGCCCACCTATGACAACCCTATGCCTCATCCCAACCATATGCCTAGTAACATACATATGCCTCCGAATACTAGTCAAAAAAATCTATCTAACTCTAATCCTAATTTACAGTAAACAATCCCATTCAAGACCACTAAATTTAAAATTGGATCCATTAATTGTCGAAGTCTAGCTTCCACATCAGACCCAATAACTCGACGAAAATTCACCCGGTACCTTCGATCTCTGAAATACGACCTACTCAATTCTCAAGAAGTTCGAACAGAAGACAACAACGTAATAGAATCTTTAAATATGGAATTACAAGCTAAAGATTCAATATGGACTCAACACGTTGGCATCGTTAGTTTTAATCCTAACATTCGCATTTCACCAATATTTATCATGCTTAACAAACATGCAGTTTTTGTAAAAGTACATCACATCAACCACCACTTTGAGCCGATATATCTACTAAACGTCTATGCTCCTAGCTAACCCGGTCCTAAGAAAACATTTTACATCGATATCATTGAATTGCCTTTATTGAAAGATGAAACTGATGTCGCACACTTTACTAAATACTCCAACTTCTTGATAACAGGAGATTTTAATTACCATCACTATACAACATATCGATCCTCAAATTCGCAATGTCCTCACCCGATTAGATCCTGGAAACAGACTCTCAACCAACACCTCTATGACTGCATCAATTCAGATGACATAACAGAGACGTATTCAGTGGCAAATCCACATATCACTTTTAGTCGGGGCAATTCACGTACTACAACTGATTACATTTTTGCATCGCTAGCAATTAAAGCAAGTATGACCAAATCTGGTGTCGATTTTATCAACCCGGACTGGACAGACCACGCCTTAATCTCTATTGATCTAGTATTAGTGAGTAAAAAACATGGGAAAGGAATCTATAGAGCAAATCCGGCATTGGCCAAGAATAAGCGTTTCGTTGAGCAACTGTCCACGTTGCTTCAAGAATTGAAACCAGATACAGCAAATAGCCCCCACAACTCCCCTCAGCTTGAATGGGACTCTATGAAGAGAAAAGTGCGACAGTTCTGTGAGCGCTTTTGTCGTATTTGGGTATGATTTATTTGAGAATAAACAAATAAATCGAATAAATAATAAAAACATGGAATAAAAACATCCTTTAATATTGAGTAACAGCATACACCTGTATACTGCTACACAACGACTCCTACTATGAGTACATATTTCTATATAAAAATATTGCATGATTGGCTTAAAATCGATATACGAATGACAGTTGGATATAGAATTCTATACCACTGAGTTACGATATCACCGATCGGGAAAAGAAGCTTCTCCGATCAAATCAAGAAATATAAGAAAGAGAAACTTAATATTAATAGTTCTCTCAATGGATTAGCTACCCATAGAGAGAATAGAACAGCTATTTATATAAATGGTTCATTTACGTATATATTGATAAACACAACTTATACGACTGTAAGTGTATAAGAGAAGTAGTGCATGGAATATTTGGATGCCTATTTTCTACAACTAAATATACAAACATCGATAAGATGTTCTATATTTAGGATCACATATTTACCCATGTCTTAGATAAAAATAATCAACAGAATGGATAAATGATCAGACATAACTACATGTTCTACCACAGCCAATTAAACACAAAAACCTTATGCATCTTTTAACTAGCCACCGTTACACAATATCTTACTGGAATTCTGTATTTTAAACAGTACAATAAGAGTGTCCCAGATCGGTTGATTCAGGGCGACGTTATTTGAAATCAATTCTAACGAGTAGAATTCATTTAATGTAAGGCGGGAAACTGAGTATAGATTTATTACAAGACCAGAAAGGTTGACTGAACACAACTACCAGGGGAAGTTGTTCAATATAAAAAGGATCAATTATTTCATCGCAGCAGAGTTCTTTTAGTCTATTTTTACCTCCAATAAAGATATACTTTTTTCTCATTACTTTTTCATTGTAATATTTTTGTCAAATACCACAGTCATAATATAAAATTGACTCTTACGGAAAAAGTCATTCAAAAAAAAAGTAACTATGGAGGTTTCGGGGTAGAGGTTGCCCTTCGCTCCAGTGTAGCAGCCAATACAATTAAGCATTATATTATCGAGGTTAGAGAAACAGTCTATGAACACTTTTTCACAAACAATATGTCATTATTCGAGAAGAAATGAAAAATTGTTTGTTTTAGGTCGATGGAGGGGTCACCTTTAAAATTAATATTTTGGACTAGCAAGTCTTTCGCTACGAAGCAAAAACATTGCTCATAGAATATTTAATCAGAAATATAAACAATAATTACTTTTGCGTAGATCACCTTCTAGCCTGGGTCTAGGGATATCGTCTTTTTCCAAATAGTTACACATGTAATGAGAAACATCAAAGTTTTCTCCGGTGTCAAACTGATAATCAGCTGTGTAGCTTAAGCTATTGTGCCAAACCACATAGCTTAGACGTAATAAAAAGTAGATGTAATTGACATAATTGGAAATAGTCTGTATCACAGATCTATCGGTAAATAAAGTAACAAGATCCAGTGGCATTGAAAGGATCTAAGTATATCCATTCCGACATAAGAACAGAAACTTGACTTGTGTATTCGACAGTCAATAAAGAAATTTATTAATGACTAATTACTGTCAAATATGAAATTAGTTTTCAGCTGTCATTTAGTATAAATAGACCCCAAATTATCATCTTAACATCTTGGTCAATAAATGTGTAAAGCAATTCTAAACGTACTTATGTACTTTGTTTTTTTTTTTATTTTTTTTTTTATTTTATTGAATCACACTACCGATTTATTACATTTTTTACGTTTATCCGCCACTATCAAGACGTCTAAGGAAGAAGTTCAGGAAATTATCAACGATGTCCAAGATGCAGATGTCGAAATGAGTGAGGTTGACTCCATGGAGGAAGGTACCCCGGAACCTGAGGCTGTATCAAGAAAGGAGGGTGTGATTCCCGACTTGTAGGAAGAAGAAGAAGTCAAATCTACAGGAACTGTCCATCCCCCTGCCCCAACTGTTACCATGGCTAAAAAAGCAGTCAACATTTTTAGTACTCCCCGTAAGGCTGTAAAAACGCCCGAAACGATGATGTCTTTGACCGATCGCATCCTTAAGTATCGAGTCACTCGTGACGCTTATCGCTCGAGAATGATGGCTTTAATGGATGTTGAGCCGGCTACCAGTATCATTGAAAATGAGATTAATGAGTACCAGCGTAAACTGGATCTCATGATTAAGCGTATTGAATCTCTGGAGGCCAGTATGAGCCCTAAGAGTGAAGATAAGCTTGACTATCGTAATGATCTTGTAAAGGCTCCTGTCATGATCCTGTTACATCTTATGCCCCAAATATGCAATATGAGTAACCAGCTTTCAGACTCAATAATTATCATTGATCTGTCAGCTCTTTAAATCCTTTGTCATGATCCACATAAGCTATGACTAACTTTTGTCATTGCTTATTCTTTCTCTATAAATAAAGCTGATAAATTTCACTTCTCCCAGTTTTCTTTATCAGATATATTTCATAATCATCTTCTCTTTTCTTTTCCTCTATTATTAAATAAATAACCTGCTCTCAAGAAGCTATTCATTCTCTGCCCTGTCCTGCCTGTCTCGTTCCTGACAGCTCCCCTTGTAATTGACTTGCCGAAAGTACCAAAGCTGCATCTTGCTTCTTTCAAAAATTTGCATGCTAAATCCAAAGCATTATTCGAATCCATCTAACATTTCGTTCATGAATTTGAAATGACAATCCATGCATCCAGAAATCAAATCGAAGATGTATGGAGATTGTGAATCCAAGTAGCAATCCCTTTTAAGTTTACCGCTTGGTCTAATGAATATGTTGTATCATGTGCTAACTGGGAGAAGGCTAAAGAGGTATTGACGAAGAAATTTGGTAATTTTCGCTCCAAGGAAGCTAATGTATCAAGCTGTTTGATTTACGTATGACAAACAATCAGACGGTGGTTGAATACACGAATGAGTGCATTAACCTGGTTGATGCTGCTGAGCTGAACAAGGATGACAAGATTCTCGTACTTTTGCACCGTGCACGTTTGTTAGAACCATGCAGACAGCATATTTCTACCGCTGTAGAAGCAAGAAAGCAAGTAGACCCGCAACATCAGTTCTCCATCAACGAATTGTGTGATATGGGTAGAGACATGTTTGGTGATGAACTTGTCTCGAAGAAAGTAAACGGACCTGGTAATCAGGCTACAAGTATCAGTAAACGACGCAGGGAAGGCGCTTCTGTCGAATGGCAGAACTTTACGACCGGTAATACGGCTACTAGTAATATGGGTTGTGCTAAGCACGGTGGTGAGCAGTCGAGCCAGACCGCTGCTAAATGTACGACTGAGGACAATGTATACAAAAGAAGTAAGTTCTTGGGTAATGCCAATTATCCTTACAAGGCAACCCGGAACCCAGTGAAAGGTAAACCATGCAAGTTTTGTAGCCAAGCATGGAAGTATGGCCATGAATGCCAAGGGTATCAAAGGAAAGACCGTCTTGGCGGTACACGCTGAGCAAGAAGAAATGACCCTAGTAAGATTAAGGAGGCTATGGAAGTGGACCCGTATGAATGTAAGTACAAGAGTAAAGAAGAAAGAAGCCCATTGAAATTGACTCTAACTCCTATCATTATTAGAGACATCAAAGTAATTGCTCGTATCGATACAGGATCGGATATATCATGTATCAATAAATATTTTTTAGAAAAACAATTTGACAATAAAGTAAAAATTTCAAAAGTAAATAGCAATCTTAATTTTCTTTCTCTTGATAATAAAAATAAACCAAGTAAAAAAAACGTATTGGTAAAACAGAACCACTTAAAGTAAGATATACAAATGATATAAGTTTTGACTTTGCATTTGAAGTAGTTGAATTTAAGAGTATCATGGAATCTCAATTTGATATATTACTGAGATTGGATATTTTAACCAAATTACGGATTTCGTTATCTGGTGTTGCTTATTGTTATCCTGATGAGGAAACATTATGCGCAATTTCAAAACGTTAATTTTGACACAGAAAATAAATATGATTCCGAGAACTCGGACTATGGTACTGAAATGGAACGAAAGCACTTCTTAAGTAAAATTAGAAATGCCGTAAATGGTAATAAAAATATGAGTAAAAGATCTTTTTGTACTATGCCGGAGGCAATCGTGAGTATCCCATTGAAAGAAAAGACTGATAACATGTACATCAAACAATATTTCTTGGTATATCATCAATTATCAGAAATAGAAAGGCAAATTAAGGAATGGGTTGATGAAGAAATTGTATATGCAAGTGTACCTAACCCTAGATTCAATACCCCCTTGTTAGCTGCAGGTAAAAAAGATGACCAAACAGGTCAAATGACTAAAGTAAAAGTCTGTATGGACTTGCGTAGAGTAAATGCAAACATTGGTGATAGTAAAACTGCCAAACATGTGATACCCGATATGGAACACGTGTTTGCTGAAGTAAGCTCTCCAGGTCGAGTATATACAAAAATAGATCTGAAGAATGCGTATTTTTTTGTTTCCTGTTGATAAGACATCCCAAGAAATCTTCAGTTTTACTTTTAAAAATAAGACTTATAGATGGAAAGGATGCTTCTTCGGATTATCTTTTATTTCACAACAATATTCTCGAGTAATTTCTCACCTATTCAAAGGTATGGATGGCGTGCAAAATTTTATCGATGATCTTTGTTTTTAATTTGCACCGAAAGATCACGCTGAGCTGGTGAATGAAGTTATTGAGAAACTGACATCTGTCAATCTCCGTATTAACTTTGACAAAAGCGCGTTCCTCCAGCACCACGGGAAAATCCTAGTGTTTATAGGTGTGATTCGGGTGATCATTTTAACACTTATTTAAACACCTAAAGAAAGTGTTTTTCGCCAATTTTTAGAGTGATTTTCCCCGCTTATAGAATGGTTAAAATCACTTCAATATCACTTCAATATAACTTAAAGCCACCTATATTACCCACCCTAATATCACTTTAATACAACTCATTGTCACCTATACAGCTCACACCTTAGTATCACCTTAAGTCCACCTTAATATCACTTTAGTTCCACCTTAAAATCACTTTAGATCCACCTTCAAATCACTTTAGATCCACCTTAATATCACTTTATATTTCATTTTAAAACTACCTAAAGATCACTTTAAAATGAACACTTTTATAGTTATAAAAAACTTTATTTGAAGAAAAAAACATTATTTGGAACTTGTGGAAAAGGTACTGTTGTCGATACAGCTATGCAACAGCAAGAATCGTTCACTATCATTGGAGAATATGACATGTTAATAATACTATCAAAATGGTTATATAGTAAGCCTTACATTACATTATTAGTTAGAAGCCGAGTGCCGTCTCTTACGGTTTTTGTTCATTTTTGAGGGAGCCTTGTTTGACCAGCAGCTCTGTAACATGAAGTAAATGGCCCAATTATCTTTACAACAATTGACAATGTCTTTAATTTTCAAAAGATGAGCTTCCCTGGAGGCTCTTGGTATCAACTCCTTCTTGATAACACCAGATAACGTTTTCCAAGGTACAGTCACACTCAAATGATTTTAGCGGAATAGTAAATAAATAAATCAGAAGAATTTGTTGCCAAATCTTCAAATGTTAATTGCACAATGAAATAATTTGGAAAACACTTCTAATTTATTTATATAATACTTAATATATATATTTTCATAAAAATAAAAATAAAAATGAAAAGCAATATTTTGTGGGTCCACCACGGGCTTCAATTACCGCTCGACATCGATCTGGCATACTTGAAACTAATCTATCTGCTAGTTCGAAGCTCATTTTTTCCATTCTTCTGCTATGGCTGCTCTCAAACTACTAACATTGTTAACTGAACCCCTTCGGGTTTTTAGTTTACATTCAAGTGCCCACCAAAGGTGCTCGGTCGGATTCAAATCAGGGCTTTGTGCTGGCCAGTACTCAAAGCCACTGATTTGATGCGTCTCTTTCCACCATCTTGCATACTCACCAGTATGACAGGTAGCCCCATCTTCTTGGAGTATAAAGCTCCTGTCGTTATTCGTACTCAATTCTTGGAACCAAGGATGAAATTTACCTGCTAAAACATTGATATATTCATCCTGGCCAACAGTACCGTCAATGATAGTCAAAGGACCAAAACCTTTAGCCCAGACACAACCCCAAATCATAACACCACCGCCACCCCACTTCACAGTTGGTGTGGTATTTAGCCATATTATACCGTAGTCGAATTAGGTTACACGATCACAATCCACAATAATTTACATTATTGTGACTACTAATAACCTCATATAAAAGCAGAAATTAACTATTCAACTAGACGGATCCTCCTTGTCTTTTTATTATTATAAAAAAACAATAAAGTTATCAAAAGTTTCATTTTATTTCTTGACCCATAATTATCACAGTTGGTACGATATGTTTCTCTTGATACCTTTCCCCAACTTTTCTCAAAACTCTAGCACCTCTATCAGCCCATTTTACCGAAAAACGTGATTCATCGGACCAAACCACACTGTTCCACTGATCTTTGGTCCAATTCACATGAGCGTGTGCCCATTGAAGCCTGTTTTTCTTGTGTCTCTCTGTTATACGTGGCTTATGTGCTGCATAATAAGATCCAAATCCAAGCTCCTTTACTGATGCGATAATAGTTGCTCTACAGACGTTCATTTCAGCCCTTTGTAACTCTAATTTTAAATCATCATATGTGACAAAAGGATCGTCTTTAATGACACGTTCGATATGTCCTTGCGCCCTGTGGTGATCCACCTACTGTTGTTACTAATCACACCATAAAACAATATTAAAATTAAATCTCACTTCATCACCCCATACATTATTACATCACAACACGAACGAATCTCTTATGCATTATATCATATCCAACTACGAGCACTATTTTAGTGCTGTGTAACTTATCCATCAAACTAAATTCATAATCCGATTTCTCTTAACATATATAAATATGCAAACTGATAGTTAGAATAGAACCCTCTCAATCTTGGAATCTAGTTTTACTCTTAATAAAAACTTATAAGCAGTCTCAAAGTACTTTATTGTTTTTCTCTTTTAAAATCTATTCGCAACTATCACACTCCCTCTGGTCAATCTTTTTTGGTGCACCGGGTTGCTTTTTAGGCAAAGGACTACCTGTTTCTTTTATCCTTTTAATAACACTTCGCACAGTGGACGGTAGTACGTCGACTGTACCTGAAATGGCAGTTGGTGTTATGCCGTGCTTATTTAGGTAAAAAATACCCCAAAGTTTATCTTCTTTTGGTGGATTATAGCAACCACGAGTGTGTTAATGGCATACTTGGTTTAATAGTGATATATGAGAGAAAAAACGATTTTATTAAAAGGGGTGGCGTTAAAAAAAAACGCCAAAAATAAGGTTTCGCTAAAATCACTTGTGTGTGACTGTACCCATTCATCCATGCTTGACCTCAGGACAGAATTGCAAATGGAGTTAATATCCTTGCTTAGCAAACGATACATACGTTCTGCTGTTTCGGGCTGGCCAAGAGGATTTAAAAGAAACATTCCGTCATCACTATTCTTTAGTATGTCAATAATATCGGTAACATGAATAGTTTCTGGCTTTTTGATCAAGTCAATCTGTTCATAATCGACTTACATTTGGTCTTGAAAAACGTTTTGGAGACTTGTAGTAGCTATTTTATCTAAAATGGTCTCTAATCGATCCAATCTTTTATTGATATTCTTTATAGCTGAAGTCTGCTTTACGATGATAGTTGCTTTGAACTTCTCCATTCTTTCAAGCAATGCTTTTGCTGATGTAGGTTGTCTAGACATATTGATAGTATCTTTTAACAGGTATTTTTATTCATTTAAAGTAGTCAAAAGAACACATCACCCCCGCTTTCTTTAATAAATTAGATTATTATATTTCTTTTGGAATGCTTATGCTTGGCCTGTTTATGGAGGAATGATACTTTTTAATTAAACCCCATTTTAAACCGCGATAACAGGACATTTGGCTTAACGTTTTAAATCTCATCTTTTTTTATCATTAATCATTTTATATATTCTAAAAAATACGCGTTGCGATACTTGCCGAAACAAACCATACGTTCGTACTCGTGATATAGAATCTCATAAAATAAAGCACAAAAATATGGAATTGGAAATCGAAATGAAGGCTAATATCATTAGACGACGACTAAATATAACAGATGACAGCACTTCTAAGTCATGCGTCAATCGTTTGCCCGTAGAAGAACCTGCCAATATTCCCGATCTTGAATATGGTATGACTGACGATGACAATGTTGATCCCGTTCCCGTTTCTGGTATTGCTTATATGGATATCGACGCTGTAACTGAATTACAAAATCTATATGAAAGTGATAGTGGAAGCGACTCCGACATCATTCTCGAACGTAGTACTGTTTTAGATACATAATACAGTAGACACATGACCGATAGTGAAAGTGATATCGAAAGTGATGCTGATATTCAAGACTCAAATTATGCCAAGAATCAGTAAATAAAGTACTCTGAAATGGCAGTCAAAGGTGATCCTGAGGAGCTATCCGTAATTCGTGTGTGGTGACCTAGCAAGCCTATAGCCATATTAGAACTAACAAAGGTTTATCCATGCTGATACCATTTGTGATATAAGCTTAACAATAAATGTCGTAGTAAGAACTATAAGGATATTACATCACAAGTCTAATTTAGTACGTCTGAGGAATACTTAAAATTTAGTTTAAATCAAAGAGAGTTAAGAAGACTTAACATTTATTAGAACAAGACTAAATTAGTGACTATGTAATAATCGTATACATTTTTGGTTAATCAATGATAAATTCAAGATAGCACTAGAGATATGAACACAGCAGACAGTCTTTTATATAAATACTCGTACATTTCATTTATTTATAAAGGACATTCTTATAAACAGTCTCAAACTACTCCTACGGTCTTTTTATAATTTAAACCTTACCTTGAAACACAACAAAATACACTATGAAACTTACATTGTTGAGCCCAGAGAGCCATTTCTCAAGCATCGGCTGTCATAAGAGCCTTATCACCAGTGTCGTGAGCCTCCATGTCATCAATTGAGCGATCGGCGTTAGAATAACCTTTTACTAAATTAGACAGATCAAAAGATGACCAACACTAAATTAGTATACTTTAGTGTTAACATTAGTCAAAGAACTAATTTAGTACCATATTCAACACATATAAAAACCAACAAAATAATATAATAAAACAGTATCTTTATTCTCATCAAAAAGTCTCGTTAATAAGTTTAGCTACGAAGGAATTTAACTACAAATTCCTATCTCTATAAACTATCAACCAATCATCTAGTATCACTTTAACGACCGACTTCCCTCTTATTTTACCAGAAGGTGACGCATGTTGAATAATTGTTCCAACGGTATTGTTCGCGTTTGCCCAAGCACTTGGGGCCCCAATAGTAGCGGCGTGTTCGGTAGTAGCAGCAGCATCAGCAGCATAGTTGTTACCTTCAACTCTATCTGAACCAAAACTCATGGCACCAAAATTGTACTCTTGCTCCGTGTTAGCTTCTTCCCTACGAGCTGTGTTACAGACATGATTTCTAGTCCAACCAGAAACACCACAAGAATAGCACTTTTTATCTTCAACTGAAGACGACGTTTGCTCGTTACTCTGAGCATTTGCAGCTCGGCAGTCAGCGGTATTATGCGTATTGGCACGATGGAAAGAACAATATTTTTCAACTCTAGCCCTGGGGCGAGGTACATAAAAAGGACGTGGTGGTACAGGAACCGAAGATAAATTTTCACCAGTAGGAGTATTGTTAGAGGCATGTCGGGATAGACGGGACCCGCGATGGACTTCATCATCATTATTGTTAGTAGTTACAGTTCCCTTGGGAGTACGGGCAGCTTCACCAGGATGAATGATATATGAACGGGATAGAGCAGCAACTCTTTCTTGACGGGCTATACGATTAAACAAGCTTCTGGCCAAAGCAGCAATGATATCGACATCATTTTGTTTGTAGAGAGCGAGAGTAGCAGAAGCTGTAGTAACTTGATTGGACAATGCCGCAGGGATAGCAGACAAAAACCGCTCCACCAACAAAGAATCCGGTAACACTTGATCAACAGCACGTCGACGCAAACTATTAAATCTATCAATGAAGGCTTCCATGTTTTCAGTTCTTAACATCATGATAACATTTAACTCGCGAGCACAATTATTTCTTTCTTCTTGAGCGTTTAACCCATATCTCTCTTGGATAGCCACCGAAAATTCTTGCCACGAAGGAACACGCTGGAAGGCAGGTCTAAATTTGTTCAAATAATCTTCAAACCAGATACGAGTAGCACCAAACAGAAGGGGAGGCAGAACGCGGAGATAGTTATCATCGAGTACCAATCCATGGCTGTTCATCACATCCACAAAGTTCATCAGACAAGTTTTGACGTCAACAAATATGTGACCCTCGGGTCCACAAGCAGGTAAACCTTCCCAGCGAAACATAGGTAAATTTCGGGGTACCACCAAAGACTTGGTAATAGGCTTGTCCATAGATATATCCTTAGTATCTTCGAAGCAACCGAAAGCCTTCTTCAATATAATCAAGTCATTTGTTTTTCTCTTTAGACAGATACGCTTGTTTTTCAATCCATGATCATTTTCCGGAGCGGAAGCAACATACAACGATAATTGTTTAATTTCTTCCTTAGCTAAAGAAATAGCCTTCTTCATATCCCCGAGAGAATCATCCTCCAAATTTCCGTTCTTGGGAGCAGGTACTTCCGGGGCCAAGGTAGTAAATTCATTAAAATATACTTCGATATCTTCCATATCCGGAAAAATAGAGACTTCATCATCTTCGACCAAGTTTTCGGTATCACCATGTAATTTAGTTACATTCTCCCCAGCATGAAGTTCATGACCTTCGCCAGATTCAGACGATTCATAGCCAGTACTTAACAGAGTGGACATTTTTAATAAGAACAAAGTACAGCAACAACATGTTGTTAAAAAAAATGAATGTAGCAAAAGTAGGCTTAAAGAGGATAGTTTTGCAGAAAAAAACAATAGGATCAATTAGAATTCTTGTCAGAGTTTATTGATGTTAAAGTTAACTAAAGATTTAAGAAGAGGAAAAATAAAGAGTATTTATAATAAATGGAATGGACGAGGCTGAGGATACTACTCTTAACAATATGAGTATGCTATCAATAACAATATCTATATTGGACAATTAGTGCTACGCATAGTCAATAGAGAAATAATAAGAATAACATGTCTTAAGTTTGGACATTGGTGTTACGATACCGTGACACTTTAAAATAGTGACCGGCTTTAGCAAATTCCTTTTTATGCCTGATCATGATTTAGCTATCATTTATCAGTAATGATGAGATATGAATTTATTATATGTACAATCTATATGTGTGATTTAGCACAATGAAAAATCCAAAGACAAAAAAGAAAATAAGACAGAGTATTAACCAGATTGCAAAAAGGAATGGAACTATATTAAACATAAAAATGTGGATTTCTTTTATACACAACGAACACAACTATTTACAGCAAACGGGAAGATGACTACTTTGGGTAGATTATATTGACATATTGTCTAAACTATCAATATCCCGCAAGGTACATCAAAGATAATAAAATAACAATCCGTAACTAAAATAAATATATTAGTGTTACGTGAATTATGAAATATCATCTGACATATGCCAAAAGGTGAACGATGATAAATTACTTCAATCGTCGGAGTGCAAGTATGTTACCGCAAATGTGGTGCATATACTGCTCGAATACAACAACACCCGGTGCAAAAACTTGCGCACGAGATATAAAATTCGTAATGATAGGACCAAACACCCTCATCGACCTATTTTCTTGATGTAATTTTTTCAGTTCCTTTAAAGCAATCAGAGCAGGATCAACACCTCCACCAAATTTCTTCAGAAATTTTTCTCTAACAACAGATCATGCCAATGGAGTCTTTTGATTGGAAATCGAATGCAGCCAGTTTAATGCCGTACCCGTTAGCGTTACCTCCAACTCATCCACCTTTTCTTCATCAAAACGATCATAGCGACAAAGAAATTCATATCTTTGCATCCAAATTTGAGCTTCTTCTTCATTACCTTGGAAAAACGAATCAAAACGCATACGTTTTCGTCGCTCAGAAATGTTGATCTTCTTAACTACAGGCTTTGTTTCCACCAAAACAGCTGCTCGTGGTATGTCTTCATATGCATCGCCACTTTGTCTTGACTTCGCATTCTCCAAGATAGCAATACAACGGCGCAGTCGGCGTAACTCTTCCAGTTGCGCATCGCCCCCGTCTCAGGCTCAGTTGGTGTTACCGTTGCACGAGTTCGACTATTGTACTCCCCCCTAGCCATCAAAACATAGTCATAACGCAAATTTAAATCATGACAGACAGCTTCAGTAGGCCAGCAAAACCCTTGTACCAAAGGACACAAATCAGCAGCAGGAATAGTATGAAGTGCAAGCATAAGTTCACAAACAATATTATCCTTTGTCTTGTTAATATCATTATCAAAGAAAGCAACACGAGCTTTCATCTCATCAATTTTAGCACAAAAAGTTGATAGAACCATATCCAGAGATGCACGACTAGCAGGTGCAAGGAAATTATATGAATCAGCCACATCATTACCAACTGTTTCATTTTCACTAACTTCATCTATCATCGCAGCACGACCGGTACTGAAGTAAGTCAATAAATTGTTATACGAATCCATAATTGCTACAAATGGGGCACACAATTCCTCCTCAGTTAGTACCAAATGATTACTCATATTATCATCCACGCTGTGAAGATTAGAAGCAAAATTTGTAAGAATTGCAAGCGGCGGTACAGCATCAGAACCTGGACGACGTTGTTCGTATCGTTTGGCACTGCTATAATTTACCACAGAGGGAGTGTCAATAGATTCCAGAGTTATCGTAGGAGCCTCACGCGCCAAAGAACTAGTTAACTCGGGAATGACCTCAGAAGTGACCTTAGGAGGACGTTCAGTAACAGAACTTGAACCAGACGAGGTTAAGTTTTCATCAACGCTGGTAGCAGTAGTTCTCAAGTCTCTCTCAGAGCTTGCACCAGCCTTCAGTAAGTTTTCAGCAGTAATATCAGTACTCATTGCCTTAACAGCTTTACCCCACCAATGTGATAGTGCGACCCGGATAGATGAGGATTATATGTCAGAAGATAAATATGATTGGATAAGAATATGTATCTTATATAATCACAATAGAATATAAAGTAGAAATAGAATAATGTTTTATTGATAGAAATATGAAAGTTTATATAGTAAAGATAATTTAAATTAATAGCTAAGTAATATAAAAATGACAGGGCTAGAATTTTAGCATTATAGTTTATGCATTCAATGACAGGGTTCTTGATTGGATTACTAAAATAAATTTATGAGAAACTAGAACATTCAGTAGCTACTCGACCAATCCAGGAACGATTATGAAATCTGATCTCAGTTTGACATATGAGGAAGCTGGTACTGTGTCGTACCAATAGGAATGTATTCGCAATATAGTACTTATAATACATAGGTTGTATGTATTATTGTGGTATTTGACAAAAATATTACAATGAAAAAGTAATGAGAAAAAAGTATATTTTTATTAGAGGTAAAAATAGACTAAAAGAACTCTGCTGCGATGAAATAATTGATCCTTTTTATATTGAACAACTTCCCCTGGTAGTTGTGTTGAATCAACCTTTCTGGTCTTGTAATAAATCTATACTCAGTTTCCCGCCTTACATTAAATGAATTCTACTCGTTAGAATTGATTGAAATAGTCGATTAATACAAGTATAATTACTAGACAGAAAAAAGATGAACTTTATTAAAAATAGGATAAAACCTGATATATAAACCAGGCTCGGAACTTCAAATAAAGAAGTCCCAAGTATATGTATATTATACTTTAACTACAACATCGATTTCAAATAACGTCGCCCTGAATCAACCGATCTGGGACACTCTTATTGTTCTGTTTAAAATACGGAACTCCAGTAAGATATTGTGTAACTGTGGCTAGTTAAAAGATGCATAAGGTTTTTGTGTTTAATTGGCTGTGGTAGAACATGTAGTTATGTCTGATCATTTATCCATTCTGTTGATTATTTTTATCTAAGACATGGGTAAATATGTGATCCTAAATATAGGACATCTTATCGATGTTTGTATATTTAGTTGTAGAAAATAGGCATCCAAATATTCCATGCACTACTTCTCTTATACATTTACAGTCGTATAAGTTGTGTTTATCAATATATAAGTAAATGAACCATTTATAGAAATAGCTGTTCTATTCTCTCTATGGGTAGCTAATCCATTGATAGAACTATTAATATTAAGTTTCTCTTTCTTATGTTTCTTGATTTGATCGGAGAAGCTTCTCTTCCCGATCGGTGATATCGTAACTCAGTGGTATAGAATTCCATATCCAACTGTCATTCGTATATCGATTTTAAGCCAATCATGCAATCTTTTTATATAGAAATATGTACTCATAGTAGGAGTCGTTGTGTAGCAGTATACAGGTGTATGCTGTTACTCAATAGTAAAGGATGTTTTTATTCCATGTTTTTATTTTATTCGATTTATTTGTTTATTCTCAAATAAATCATACCCAAATACGACAACAAGCTTCAAGGTTCTCGCTTCTTCTCCACTATTGATTTGAAGTCAGGTTACTGGCAAATTCCAGTGCACACCACTGATGCCAAGAAGACTGCGTTTACGGCTAATGGCTCACTTTATCATTTCCTGTGCTTGCCTTTTGGCGTTTCGAACGGTCCAAGCCATTTCATGCGGTATATGCACACATTATTAAAAGGTATTAAAAACGTTATGGTCTACTTAGACGATATTATTTGCTTTAATAAGACGGTTCAGGATCACATGGCCACTCTGCATACTGTTCTTCGACGACTTGACGATTTTAACTTGAAGATATCCTTTAGGGATGCCAATTCTTCAAAGCCGAGGTCCATTTTTTGGTTTTTTATTAAGCAATAATGGTGTTCGCTCTAACCCTGAAAAAGTCGCTGTCATCAAGACTTGGCCTGTTCCTACCACTCCCAAGGCTTTAATGCGCTTTTTAGCTTTTTGTGTCTTTTACCATAAATTTATCAAAAACCTGTCCTCAGTAGCCAAACCATTGTACCAACTCCTCCACAAAGATACAACATTCCACTGGTCCCCTGAAGCCGCCACCGCTTTTACTAATCTGAAAACCATCATGATGAACTTACCTACGCTGGCTTTCCCGGACCCTCGTCGCCCGTTCGACTTACGCTGTGATGCTAGTAACTTTGGATTAGGTGCTGCCTTGGTCCAAGACGGGACTCTTATCGCGTTCGCTAGTCGTACACTATCTCCCGCTCAACTCAACAATAGTACGACGGAGAAGGAATGTCTTGCTATTGTATGGGCCTTAGACCACTTCCACGCTTACATTTATGGCGGTGATTTAACCGTATACACAGATCACGCTGCGTTAAAAGCTATCCTGACCACCAAGACTCCCAAAGGTCGCATTGCGCGCTGGATCATGACTCTACAATCGTACCGCTTCACCATCATCCATAAGAAGGGCAATTTAAACCAAGATGCCGATGCCCTCAGTCGTCTTTCCCAACAGAATAGCCAATATGTTGCAACTATTCCCCCTGCTGCTGCCCTCCATGATCTCCAACTGGTTGATCCCGCTATCAAATTGCTACTAAAAGGGGGAGTGAAATATCCGTTTATTTGGAAAAATAATCTTGTTGGTAAAGTAATTAAAAACTACGATGATACAGAAAATATTTCAGTTGTCATTCCTAGATCCCTCCTCCCGATGATTTTGACCAAATCCCATGACGACTCCTTGGCTGGACACTTCGGTTTCAAGCGTACATTGGAAAAAGCTAAGCAGTTTGGCTGGTGGCCTGGTATGAAAGAAGACGTCGAGAATTGGGTTCGCTATTGTGAAGGCTGCCAAAGGTCGAAGGTCCGAACCGATTCTACCAATGCCCCATTGAAACCTATCTTGCCTTCTCGAATAGGCGAAATCTGGGCTTCCGACATTGCCACCTTGGTACCTAGCAAAAAAGGAAATAAATACCTTTTAGTTTTTATGGAATACCTTTCCAAATGGATCGTTACCGCCGCTATCCCTTCTCTGGACACTGATCATATTGTCCAAGTCTTGCTCTTTGAAATCGTCTTAAAACTCCAGTCACCCGAAAGATTAATCACCGACAACGGCTCCAACTATATCTCCCAAGCCATGTACCAAGTTTGTAACCGATTAGGAATCAAGCGCTCATTAACCTCTGTGGAAGCCCCACAAACTGATGGCCTTGTTGAGCGTATGAACCGCACCATAAAGATTAGTCTTTCCATCTGTGCCGAACAAGATCCTGCTTCGTGGGACGAACACCTCCCATTTGTAACATTTGCCTACAACACATCCCAACAAGAGAGCACCGGTTTTTCCCCATTCGAAGTCCTTTTTGGCATCAAAGCCCGACTACCGTTACTTCCAAGCCTCACTGAGTCCACCGCAATTATTACTGAGGAATGGTTCGCCTACCTAAATAACCATCTCCCCATAATCCATGGAACCGCCATTAACAACATCAAGAAATCTCAAATTAAACAAAAGCGAGCTTACAACAAAGGTGTAGCAAAAGTAGGCTTAAAGAGGATAGTTTTGCAGATAAAAAAGGTAGAAAAAAACAATAGGATCAATTAGAATTCTTGTCAGAGTTTATTGATGTTAAAGCTAACTAAAGATTTAAGAAGAGGAAAAATAAAGAGTATTTATAATAAATGGAATGGACGAGGCTGAGGATACTACTCTTAACAATATGAGTATGCTATCAATAACAATATCTATATTGGACAATTAGTGCTACGCATAGTCAATAGAGAAATAATAAGAATAACATGTCTTAAGTTTGGACCTTGGTGTTACGATACCGTGACACTTTAAAATAGTGACCGGCTTTAGCGAATTCCTTTTTTATGCCTGATTATGATTTAGCTATCATTTCTCAGTGATGATGAGATATGAATTTATTATATGTATAATCTATATGTGTGATTTAGCACAAAAGGAACAGGTGTCAAGTACGACTATCAAGTCGATGATCTAGTCGCCCGAAAAAACCTGGTCAAATCTGGTTTCCCAAAACAACGCTGGCTAGGTCCCTACAAGATACTCGGTCTTAATAACAAAGAAGGCACTTCTTTCAAACTCCTCAAGATAGGTGACCCAACTCATTACGGAACCACTGCTAACGCAAGACATCTACGCCCATGGTTTAAACAAGATAACCGACAAGATATCCTTCAAGTAGAAGGGGGAATGATGTGACGTTGCTAAAAGTCACGTCCTCTGAATATTTCCAAATCCAGCCATCCAATTCTTCTTGTCAACTATGCCCGTTAAATATTAACTGCATGCAACCAAACTCTTTAGTATCTTTCCAACTCCATCACCTTATCCATTGTGATAGTTGAGGATAGAGATAGACAAAGAAAAACAATAAAATACTTTGAGACTGCTTATAAGTTTTATTAAGAGTAAAAGTAGATTCAAAGATTGAGAGGGTTCTATTCTAACTATCAGTTTGCATATTTATATATGTTAAGAGAAATCGGATTATGAATTTAGTTTGATGGATAAGTTACACAGCACTAAAATAGTGCTTGTAGTTGGATATGATATAATGTATAAGAGATTAGTTCGTGTTGTGATGTAATAGTGTATGGGGTGATGAAATGAGATTTAATTTTAATATTGTTTTATGGTGTGATCAGTAACAACATTAGGTAGATCACCACATCTATAATTACCTTTTTATATATGTTATATCCCAAATCATTTAGTATAAATATCCCATACTTTTATATTCAATAAAGATCAGTTCAAGTTTTAAATAAGAAATAAAAGTGTTCTTGTGGAAATCGGTGTAGATTTATAAAATAAAAACAAGAAAATTATCAAACTTGCAAAAATTAACTAAGGCTTTATTAAACAAATAAAAAGAGGTCTTTATATACACATTATTTCAGACATTGATCACAGATGGGCTGATGTCGGTCGTGGGTAGATTCATCCAGATAATACTCGGATGTAATGATCCCATATAGAAAGGCCATAATGAGATGTCAATAACAATAACAATAACATTCATTCTTAAACTGTGTATGTCTTGTAGCACAATATTCAGGGGAAAATGTAGTTCTTAATTCAGATAGCTGTGGCACCTCAATGTGGCTGATGTAACCTTCATATGTGTTCATATCAATGTTATTATTTAAATGTATGTCTTATACTTTTATGAAGGATGATATGAGATCAAGCCTGTATGTTGAGGATGTCATAGATTATAATAAAAGAATCATCACATTTTACATAATAATGGATGATCATGTATAAATATTCATGGCTCACACTTCGCCCCATTTGTTATCATCAGAACTGTTGGTGTATGTGCACAAGGTGATTCGCCTTGTGACGAGTAAAATATTATAATACCATAAAAGTATAGTACAATCCCATAGGCGGAATATTCGGTTACTGAATATTACACGCACTAAACTTTCTCTTTGGCATTTACGTAATGTCACCTGCGGAGATGAATTTAGATCCTCACGTACTTTTGTCTTTACTTTGTAAGGCAGGAATTACTTCATAACATATCTATTTAAACAGACATTACGTATAACATTATATCATATTCCTCTAACGCGTCACATATATTATCCGAAAGCCATCTAATCATTTAGTATAAATACCTGTAGTTTTTGCTAGTAGAATTCCGTAATCTAAATTTTCTCGAAATAAAAGATATACACAGTTCTAACAGTATTTTCTTTTGTTACCTTAATTTACATTTTATCTCCATCCCAAACACTGTACATAAAGTAAATGATCAGTATTTAATATAACAGTATCAATAAGAATTATATTTAGGATTATCAAATGGAAGATTTAAGAAGTGTAGATAGAGTCATATATTAAGTATATAGCCTCGATCACGACAGTTCTTTTATTTTTTGGTTTATTTTTATTATACATTTTTAAGTCCGTTCTATTACAAGTCACAGCCGTTACACCTGTTGCGGGATTAAAATAATTGAGAGTTTTTGTAATTCAATTGACCTGTAATATCACAATAAAAAAATTGAAGAGAAACAGATGTTTATTTAGTAAAAAAAACATATATAAAAAAATGGAATCAGTGGGCAAGATGATGTTTTACCTGTAATATCACAATAAAAAAATTGAAGAGAAACAGATGAGTCTTCCAAATATTATGATATTACAAGTTTATATAGTCGAGCGTGATGATGTCATGTTTTTATGTCAGTCTCTCTCTTTTTTTTTTTTTTTTTTTTTTTTCAATTCCAGTTCACTCTCCCAGCGCTATACATTTTCTTCACTAAGAAAATACTTCTTCAGATGGATTCCATTGACTCGATTCTTCAACAATGCACCAGTTTGAGCATTTACCAACACATAAGTATTATTACTGAAAGAAGTTACGACCCGATAAACTACATCTTCCCAGTTACTACACATCTTGTTAACCTTGTTCATCGCCCTTTTCAACACGAAGGTCCCGGGTAAGAAATCAATAGTAGGAGCAGGAGGATTCACCTGTTTCGAGACTCGGACAGCTTCAGCATGTAAGAAGGGCATCTTGATCAATCTTTCGAAACCCAGAGCTCTTCCAAAATTTAATAACGGATCCTCGTTTGGAGGCAGGGGAGTAACACCGAACATCATTTCATATGGAGATATTTTGATGGTTTCGTGCAGACGGACCCGATAAGCATACAGAACCGTTGGGATATACGTGTCCCAGGTAGTGGGTTTTTGATACGCTAATTTTCTAAGTGAGGTGACCAGAGTCCCATTGAATTTCTCAACCATCCCATTGGTTTGCGGGTAATAAGGGGTAGTGAGCACATGCTTACTATGGACCAACTTGAGCAAATTATTGACCACACTGGCACGGAAATGGGAACCATTATCACTTAAAATTTTAGTGACAGGGCCGAAGGTACAGAAAACGTATTCGTATAAGAAAACGGCTGCAGTTTCAGCGTCAGCACGTTTACAAGCCATGGCCAGTGGGAATCGCGTGAACATCTCCATGCATACCAATATATACTTGTTTCCCGAATCAGAAATGGGGAGAGGGCCCACAAAGTCAATACTCCATTGTTCAAAGATATTCAGAAAATTGGTCGATCTACCCATGTGGCTGCTTGACTTCATAGGAGCTACGGCATGAATTTGACACTCATGACAAGAAGAGATGAAATTTTTGATGTCATTATAAGCTGTAGGCCACCAGTACGAACGATACAGCAAAGCCCGCGTACTATGGATATCAAAATTACCATGTCCTCGATGAACCTCTTGTAGGACTCCTTGTCTTTCAGAAATGAATGGCACCTTTACGAAACGTCCATCATTAGATATTTTACGGTATAAGTGATCACCATGTATTTGGTGTTTTTGAGCCTTAATCATCATGTGGGACTTCACCTCCAAGTGCCGGTCTTGTAAATAGTTATACAATTCGACTAACTCGGGTTCATAATCGATTGGGGAGCTAACAGTCAGGACCATGTTGTATAGTTCCTCGAGCATAACTTCACCTTCAATGTCTTCAGCATTAGCAGGATAACGGTTTAGGAAGTCAGCGACCATATTTTTCTTGCCCTCAACATGCTTGATAGTGAAGTCAAATTCTTGTAGAGCCAGGCACCACCTTTGCAAACGCGTATTTGGCTCCTTTTCGGTAAAGAGGTATTTTACGGCCATATTATCAGTTAAGACCTCGAAATGACGATCCAACAAATATCGACGCAGTTTATACAAAGCATAAGTGACCGATAATAGTTCCTTGTCCACAGTAGACCAATTATATTCAGTGACTGACACCTTTCTTGAGATGAAACAAACCGGGAGTTCTTTACCAGTTTTATCGACTTGAACCAGTGCAGCACCAATACCCGTATCACACGCATCACAGTACACCCGATATGGGAGGTCAGGATTGGGAAAGTTAAGCAGCGGTACCTTCTCCAAGGCTTCCTTTAGCATGACAAATTCTCGTTCATGAGCTTGAGTCCATTGAAAGGGAATATTTTTTTTTCAACAGGTTGGTCATGTGGATGATATATTGACTAAATGCATGGACATGTCTACGATAGAAACCCGCCATGTTCACAAATGCTCGAATATCCGTCTTGTTTTGAGGCCGTCTCATCGAACAGATTTGATCAATCTTCTTCTTCAATGGGAGAATACCAGCAGTTGATACGTCAAAGCCCAGAAATTCGACTCTATCTGTAAACAACGTGCATTTGTCAGGGTTCATCTTCATCTTAACTTCAATCAGGCGATCAAAAATTTTGCCAAGGTGAACTAAGTGTTCCTCGAAAGATTTACTATAGATGGTACAATCATCGATATATACTTGACAAAATTCGGGGATAAACGCGGCCAACGCCAAATGAATCGCACGCGCAAACGTAGCAGGACCATTCTTTATTCCAAAAGGCATGCAGGTATACGAATAATTACCAAAGGGCGTGGTGATTGTGAGCTTAGGTATTGATTCTTCGTCGACTGCGATTTGATGGAATCCCTTAAGAAGATCAGTGGAACTAAGCCAGGTTGCATTGCGGAAGCTTTCAATGAGATGAGTGATGATCGGGAGCGGCCATGGATCATTAGTGGTTATTTTATTGAGGTCTTGAAATAACGTAACTAGTGTTCGGAAGAAAGATCGAAACTCTCGAGCGACTTCGATCGTGTTCCAGTCGAAGCTCGCTCGGATGCGTTTTTTTGCAGCTCGAGCTCGCTCGAAGTTTCTTAAGCTCGGCTCGGTTGCGCATACGATAGCTCGAACTCGCCCGCCCTTTTTATTACAAAAAGTGCACGTCAAAGTGATGTTAATTACAGAAAAGTATGATAATAAAATTGTTATTTATTGAAAAAGAAGTTGGAAAAAGAAAAAGAAAAGTTTTTTTTTTCACCAGCCTTAACACCAAATTCGGATAATTAAATCAAACTATTACTGCATCTATAATTATAATACATTTGGATTTGTGAACATGAAAGTTTAAATTAATTCTTCTACGTCATGTTACTATGGTTGCTGTAAAAAATTGGCTTAGTTGGGTATAGTGTGCAACACTGTTTCATTTTCTATGGTAAATGTGTTTGTTGGTTGTACAATTAAATAAAAGTCCAAAGCATTTTAATTGGAATTATTAGAGCATAAATAAATAAAAATGGTAAAGGGAAGAAAAGATTAAAATCAAGGGGAAATGCCATCTGTAGTCTTTCAAGGACCTTAACTTTAAAGTGACTACTATCGACATTTTAGCCGAGCGAGCATCGATCGAAGCTCGCTCGAACCCAAAAAAAGTGGCGCAAGCTCGAGTACAAAAACTCGGTTCGAGCTTCGTTCGAACTGGCGCAAGATCGGTGCAAGCTCGAAAAGTTCGAACACTAAACGTAACTAATCTCTTTGTACCACCTTTCTTCGGTACATACATGACCTGGAAGGCCCAACCGTTATTATCAGAATCAGCCTTCGAGTGCATAGCGGGTGTCAATATGCCACTTTTAACCATTTCATCAATATCCTTTTTCAATTCATCTAACTCCGAGAAGGACATGGAAGAGAGAGGCTTCTTGAAAATTGGCTTCGCATCCCCAGTGTCGATGTGTAGCTTGACTAAATTGGTTTGAGTGAGGTCTTCATAACTATTTCCAAAGGCTTCTTGCTTCATCTCCAAAAGATCCAGTACTTGTAACTTCTGATCTTCATTCAGCAGCACGTTGGTAGCAATTTGTTCCTTGAGTTTACCCAATTTGTCTGGTAATTCAATTCGTGATTGCTCTACTAACGCAGTGTCCCTTTGAATAGTAACCAAGAAGCATTCTTGAGTAGTTGGGGAATGTGGGTCGTCGTATCGCACATCTAAGTCAAAGAACTGACTTCCATCACGCAAGTACCAATACGAAGAAGCCAAATCGGTTCCGATACCAAGCTGGGCCATACCAACTCTACCAAGAAGGAAATCATAAGATTTTTCTGGAAGATCAAAACATAACGCCGGTGTTTGTAGTACATAGCCTGGGATAATTTCAACGCTTAAGTCTTCAATCACTCCCATGACACCAATCTTTCGACCATCGCCTACCATCATACGTTCAACTGAAATGGGCTTGACTAACTTGGCTTCCAACTCTAATCGACGGACCACATGGATGTTGATTATACATGGAGTACATGCAGTATCCAATATGACATCAGAGTAGGTACCATTCAGCTTTCCCTTGACTCTAGGCGCTTGATTACCTTGGGGGAGTACCACCTTGTTACCACTGGTACCATCAATTAAATTGAGTAGCAAGTCAGTTACACCTCTTTCCTGCGTAATAGTGGGAACAGGTCTCCTAAACTCAGTATGAGCCTTGCTAGACAACGTGATGAGTTCGTCATATGACAAATGAAACACCTTCTCTTTACGTAGGGAGTGCACGATTGCAGCCGTATTTGTTTTCCCTTGCAGCCCACTTTCACCCTCGTTGGTTGGCTTATGGCAATGATCTTGTACCACGTCGAGACCTACGAAGTCTGTTTCATCGGTAGCCTCAAGCACCTCTGCATTAATATTTTGCTTATCAACTGCTTGCATGTTTGCACCGTCGTGTTGAATAGACTCATCTATTCTTACTCTCTTATCACTAGTGTTTTCGTTGGCACCTTCCAATTCTCGCTTCATGACTAAGACCGCACTGACAGGTTTTGCGCATAAGGAGTCGGGTACCTCAATGCAAAGAATGGCTTGAGTATTGGCAGCATTAACACCGGAAGAAGTGTTCTGCGGACCAGCGATTCGAGGTGGTTTGTTGGGGCAAAAATAGCGCTTGTGTTCTAGACTGTTGCAATATTTACACGGCTTGTTACAATCACGATCAAGATGCTGGTCATCACCACAATTATAGCAAAGGCGTTGTCGTCTTGGAGCAAAAGAAGCATTGCCTTGTTGAAACTGGCCTTGTTGAAACTGTTGCTGTTGTTGTTGTAAGAGTAACAACTGCTGATTATTTGATTCAAGCACATTGATCAAAGCAGTTTAAAACGCATCGATCGGTCTAGATTTGAGATTCTTAGACTTTGATTTTCTTGACGTCTTGGGTGCTCTAATATCTTCTTCATCGTCCGAGCTATCATTGCAATCAGACTCGTCGTCCGTGGAGGCAGTAGACTCATCTGAAGAGTCATTATTCTCATATTCCTTGGCTAGTCTGTACGCTTGTGATAGAGTTACAGGGTTCTTGTCCTTCAGGTGTCTTCTCATTCCTGCAGGTGATCTGTGTTTGATAAACAATGACACATAAAACGCCTCATTTCTGGTTTCGCCATCGGTTATGTTTGTGTTTTTGCTATTATTATCTCGGCAGTTCTTCAAATCATCAAACTTGTTAATAAATTTTGAAACAGTTCTGAAGTTTTTGCGCTTGGTGGTGAGTAATTTATTCAGGTAATACAAATCATCTCTGATGGGGATATCCAACTTCTCCTTTATTTGTTGTTTAAATTGTTCCCATTCTTCGAACTTCTTGTTTACCACCCACTCCAAGAGTCTACCTTTGAAACAGTTATGCAATTGTTGAATCTTTTGTTTGTCGGTGCGCCATCCATTTGATTCTGCAGTTGTTTCAAAAATAGTGATGAAAACGTCGATATT